AAGAAACTTTATAGATGACAATTGCAAAGGATTTAGAATAGGTAAGTTACTATCAAAAGAAATCAAATTAGATCATTATATTTTTATGTTCTATCCTTCGCTGCATTTTAGGAAGTTTGGTCAACTATTTTTACATTTTTAAAGTTAAAAAAACTTAGAACTCTCTTTCCTCAGTGTTCAAAGAATCCAGATACAGACAGACTGCCATCTTAGACCACGTAGGGTATACCATACTTCCTAAGTACTATTGTATCTTCCATGCTGTGGAGGACTCTTCCTTTGGTTACCCAGTGTCTTCTGTACCTGGACAAAATAGTTTTTTCCTTCTCCCTAGGTGTCTTAAGAGACAGGATTTTCGTGATCTGTGGCCACCTTGGATATGGCAGGGTTAGAAAAAATGTATTCATTTTGAGTTTTGGCATTCCAGCTACATTACAGTTAAAACAAGCTTTTGCGGGTGAGCCTGACAACTACTTTTCCCACATGTTTTTATAGTAAAGATGCAAACTGACTTCTATACAATAAGTTAAAAATTTAAGAAATTCATTCATAATTTGGGAACTACTGAATTGGTTTTTATCGCTTTATTTGCTTATATAAAGCACACATCTGTAAACAGTATTTGAATCAATGATAATTTGAGCTAAGAGGGGAGTGTTGCCCAGAAAGGAGTATTTTGAAAATTCCATAGCAGCAATTAAGGAGGTAAATAATATTATTACTGGGGTTTTCAGGTATCTCTAACAATTTGAAAACAATGTTATTCTTCATTGTCTCTTTATTATTTTCAAAAATTGTTGGTGATTTTGTGGATTGTTTGGAGGGCAGAAGGCAGAAGAATGAAGTGTAATTTTGTACTGCAATTATATGGCTGTGATACGTACATTTGTGGCAGCAGTGAAATTCCCGTGACCCTGCAGCTGAAGGGGAGCGAGTGCATTTGAGTAGTTATGAAAGAACCAACACAGTAAAAGAGACCTGAGGCAAGGAGGAATGGAGATAGTAAGACATAGTTTAGAAACCCAGCTCAGAATTTGTAGGATAAATCCAGTGGTTATCTAAGAAGTAAGTAGAGTTGAATATTGAATCCTTGAAATATCTCTGCCATATGAAAAAGACTGGGTTAATTTTGGGGAAAGGAGGGGTTTGTTTTAAGAAAATGCCACTTAGAGACATAATTAATTGGTGACATATTAAAGGGTGATGCTACTATAAAATAATTACGCAGAAAGAATTAATGGCAGATTAAGTTCCTCAATTCAGTGATTCCAGAAAGTATTTAGATCATAAAAAGATGAAAGCAATTTGGCATTCTACTATAATCATTTACCAACCTAGCATTCTAATATATCTTCTTATACTACATCCCAATACATTCTAAATTATAGTTTTTTTAAAAAAACCTCTGTTCTGGAAGGACATACTTTTCATTAACAGATGAATGTAATGATTAATTAACATACCCCTATTTTTTTATATAGGATTTTGTGGTTAAAAATTACCTATATCTACATTGGCAAAGCATTATTAGCATAGGCGATAACATATTTTGGGACTTGATTCTTGTATATTTGAGAGATTACCCTCATTAAAAACTTTAACTGCCACAATTATTTTAATTACCTAAACTTAACGTTTTTTATTTTGAGTAAGATATGCCAAGCTTCAGTTGTGCCATGTTTTTACACTAAAAGAAAAAACCATGTAAAAAATTCTAGAGAATTATTAAAATAATCCAGATGGTCTGGCAGATTGTCATTGTTAGTATAAACATTCTTTTAAAACATAATTTATATCAAATATGGATAAAATGCTGTGAATTTAATATGAAGAGAGCAGCAAGTTTGGTATATACAGTTGATGATTTTGTCTTCCATTGTGTTTTTTTTCTTTTTTTCCTTTGAGAGTTTGTAAGTAACTTTCATGAAGAGACCTGAGTGAAAGGTCATGAGAGAAAATTTGGGGGATGAGAAAAAGAATAGAACCACAAGTCAGAAGTTGGAATTCCAAATATATTTGTAATACTAAAATACTAAAAGCAAAACTTGACTTGTACAAGACAAAAAGAAAAACAGTTTGGGTTAAAGGAGATGAAAGAGCGATGACAGCTACATGCAACGTGTGATCTTTGATTCAAGGCTTCTAGATCAAAAAATTTCTTTTAAAACCATAAAAAGATATTACTAGGATAATTGAAGAAATTGGAATATGGATTATATATTAAGTACTATTATATTCATATTCAGTTTCGTACATATGATAATGATAATGTGGTCATACAAGAAGCTGTCCTTTCTTCTTAAGAGGTACATGGCGAAATGATTAGGAGTACTGCCACATGGTCTGCAACATACTTTTACATGGTTCAGCATGGCGCATAGGTGTCCATTGTATTATTTCATGTCATCTTGTTGAACAACTAATTTAAAGTTATCAAGAAACTTTATAGGTGACAATTGCAATTGTCATCTTACAACTTTCTCTTGGTTTAGAATACCGTAAAAGGTTGGGAGATATGTTACATGAAATTTATAATAGGCCAATATTGGCAGTAACTTGGAAAATTGTTGTGATGGTGTTTAATTTTCTTTAAATGAATTGTATTTACTGTTTAAATATAATAACCAAGGCCAACTTTGTAGTCCCAACCATCTTGAAGGAATTTGAAAGCATGTTTTATGGAGAGTGATTAAAGTAATTGGGAATGGTTAATCTAAGTTTGACGTCTGTTTTTAAATACTTGCAGAGCTATCAGATGTAAGAGTGATTTAGTGTGGACATATGACTCTAACGCTAGACTCTTCCCTGCGGTGGCTACTAGCTACATGTGGCTATTGAGCACTTTGTGGCTAGTCAGAATTGAGAGGTGCTGTAATTGTGAAATATATACCAGATTAACTATGATTATGATAAATTCATACTAAGTTCAAAAATGTTATAGAAGGAAAATATCTCATTATGTGTTGAAATAATATTTTGGATACATTGAGTTAAATAAAATATATTTATTAAAATTAGCTTCTCTTGTTTCTTTTAACTTTTTAAATATTCTGGTAGCCACATTAAAAAATTACTTATGGCTCACATTTTATTTCCATTGGACAGCTCTACTCCAGAGGGCTAAAGTTATTAGCTTTTACATATAGATTTCAACTTTTCATGAAAAGGAACTTTGTAACAGTTAATGATCACCTAAAAATGGAATGGATTGCCTTGGGAGTTTGTATGTTTTCTGCTATTAAAAGATACTTAGACAAATCTGTGAAAGGGATATTTTAAAGTATATTCAAGAATGAGATAAGAGCATAGGTTTGGATTAGATAAATTCTGAAGTTACTTTGGTACAACATGTCCTACCTTCATCCTTGTGATTCTAATATGTTACACCTTCATTGAAAATTTCTGATCTAAAAATGAGAGAAGACATTTAAAAGTAACTAATAATGAAGGACAATAAATAAAATTCTATGTTTGATATAAGGATTATTGGTGCTATAAGAACTCTGGAAGGAGAAGTAACATTCATCTGATAATCAAATGAGATTAGAATTTTGAACCAGGTTCTAAAGAAGAATAGGATTTGAATAAGCAAAATGTGGTTGGGGGAAACATTCCAGGGCAGAATAAACAGGTAAACAAAAGTGAGTCGACAAGGAAGCACAAGAAGGACCATTTTAGAAGACAGAGAATCTATCGTTTTGCTTAGAGTGGAGGTTACATGGAAGAATTTACAATCTATTGCAAGTTCAGGGCTTTTTGTTTTTTTGTTTTTGTTTTTTTTTCCCCGGAAAAAAATATTATCCCCCCAAAAAGAAACAGATGCATTCAAGGATGTATACAAAATACGTATATATTCAAGGGCTTGTGAAATCTATGTAATGTGTCCACTTAATTTATTTTGTCCTACAAAGTATCTCTTGAGGAAGACACATTAACCTAAAATGGTCATCAGCAGTATTAATGCTGGATAATTGCAGAAGTGATCAGATGGGTCTGTAAAATAGAAGCCAGAGAAATTTTACATAGATCTAGCAGTTATTCTAGAAAGAATGGCCTTATAATAGCAAGGATTGGATGTCACTGAACAAGCCTTTTAAAGATTATTTTAAAAAACAATGCACCGGTTATATTGTGGAGATCGAGAATACACACCAAACAGACCAGTGGGTGGTGAACAGGCAGAATGACAGTGTTCTACAGTTATGAGAATTAGTAGTTATAAATGAGATAACATTTCCAGTGACTCCTATCATATGTAGATTCAAACTGTGTTGTATTTCATTCATCTTAGACAGACGTGAAAATGTAATGCTCTGAAAAATCATGACAAATGATTACAGAGATTAGTCATGATGAAGACAGTGATATAGGAATGTAAAACAAAATTATTTCATAAAATAAGAATGGGAGGGAAATAATATTCCTAAATTATGTTTTCATGTTTTTGAAAATATGTATTTTTATTAAACAAATAAATATCAGTAGTCATTTGACTCTTTTATTTATGATTCTAAAGTCTATATATTTAAGGGGGCCCAAAATGTGGGAATTTTGTTCATTTTGGTTTTTCTCATTGGGAAAATATAAAATCCAGAGTAATCTTATATTTAGGATATATAGTGATTAATAATTGTAGCTATCATACATTGAATTCTAACCGGGTACAAGTTAAGGTACAAAGTGCTTCACATTCACCTCATTCATTCCTCGCAAGAATCCTTTAAAGAAGGAGTTGATAGTCTCATTTTGCAGATTGGAAAACTTAAAGTCATGTAGCTAGGAAATGGCAGAACGAGAATTTAAACCTAGGTCTGTCTAATTCCAAAGTCTACATTTTTGTAATCCCTGCTATAATGCCTAACTTTTGAGAATAAATCTTTTCATTGAACTAATGCCAAATGATGACAATGATTTATCATCTTTGTTAAATGTACTTGTTATGATAATTCAAGGTGTGGTTGATGCCAACATATATTTTACCTATTTATTTTTGTCAACAGTTTTTGCCTGTGTACATGCACATTCGAGTTCTGGTTGCTGCATATCTATTTCAGACAGGGTATGGGCATTTCTCATACTTTTGGATCAAAGGAGACTTTGGAATCCATAGAGTATGTCAGGTAGGAATATATTCAGTTATTTTCATTTTCTTTCAATTTAACATGATTTTGCACCTAACTATTGAGAAAATATAAATATGACCATTGTAGGACCACTATAATGCACTTTAGGACCACTATTTGAAAATGCACTTTAAAATTGTATTATTTCTGTGTTCTGTATTTAGTAATTTGAGATAAATTATTAGTGATGGAAGGAAAATACAATTTAAATGAATATATAATAAAAGCGCTAATATACAAGGGACAACTTACTGATTCACTTTAGTTTTGTGGAAGTATATATAGTAACCTGGAATTATTATAATATGGTATGTTTTCTCTCTCAGAGAAGAGGATTAGCATTTATTAAATTTCTACCTTGTGCTAAGTAGTTTCTAAACATTATTTTATTTACCACCCAACATTACATGCCTGAGTTACTATCTTTATGTTTACAGATGAGGAAACTGAGGCTCAGAGAGGTTAAATAATTTATCCAAGGTCACATAGTAAATGGTATAGCACTAATATAAATCGGCCCAAATTCTGTGTTCTTTGAATGACATCAAAACTGATACCTGAAATGACTGTTACAGATATCCCAAAGACACTTAAATTTGAGTAATATTATTTTGTATCTATGACAACTCTCAGTTCCAAAATGGGGTAAATCAACATCAGACAAGAGATAAAACAGACACCCTTTTCTTGAGATAATCTAATCTCTACTTATAAACTATCTCTGCTTATAAACCCATGGAAGGTTTATAATTTTTTCTCCTACATTTAACAAGATGGCAACTGTAGCAAGAGGACAGCTCAGGGTGGTGCTTTGCTGGGAATTAGTTAATATGATGATGCATAAATATTTTATATTTAACTCTTTAAGTGATTGTAGAACAAATGTAATTTTAGGTATTAGTAAAAATATACTTTCATAGACATTTTTGAGTCTTAAACATACTCTGCCAGAGAAAATCTGTCTTTGCTTTTCATGTATACCTGGAATTGTAATGAAAACCATTTTCTTCTCCTTTTTAATAGGTCTTATTTCGTCTCAATTTCCTGGTAGTGGTGTTATGTATAGTAATGGATCGGCCTTATCAATTCTATTACTTTGTCCCCTTGGTCACAGTATGGTTCATGATCATATATGTTACATTAGCACTATGGCCACAAATAATCCAAAAAAAAGCAAATGGTAAATATACTCTTACTAATGTTAATAAAGATATTCTTTCAATGTACTAAATTTCTTTATAGTTACTAAAGGCTATTATTAAGAGATGTAGACAGTTTAAATTTATGTACAGTTTTGACATTTTGAAATTTTATTCTTAAACTGTTTCTAAAACATTACAGCTAAATAGTTCAAGTAATGTAACAGTGAAGAATAATAGTTTATGTTTAAATTATATGTGTTATCCCTTTTCTAAATTTAAATTTTTTGAAACCATTTTACATATTAACTAATGTTACAGTTTTCAAACTGTTTTGTACAAAGCCAGAGTGGAGTTAGCTAGAAAAGAGACAGAAAAGCCAAATAAGGCTCCAGGCCCCGACATCCTTCTTCAATCTTGGCAGCTCTGCTTTTATTTGATTTCTTATATATATTGAGATTTTGAGTAAACATTCATTTGCAGAAAGGCTTCTTATGTCAAACAAAGTTTAAAAGCACTAATATAATTTATCTTCTAGACAGCCATATAAGCAGTTATTATCAACCTGTTTTACATATAAGAAACCTAAGTACCCAAGGGTTGTCATTTTCAAATTTCATATAGCCAGTTACTGATAATATTCAAAGTAAGGCCACAGTCATTTATTTTAACTTTTTTTCATCAAGATCATACCATTAAAATCACGCTTCTTAGCCGGGCGCGGTGGCTCACGCTTGTAATCCTAGCTCTCTGGGAGGCCGAGGCGGGTGGATTGTTTGAGCTCAGGAGTTCGAAACTAGCCTGAGCAAGAGCGAGACCCCATCTCTACTAAAAATACAAAGAAATTAATTGGACAACTAAAAATATATAGAAAAAAAATTAGCCGGGCATGGTGGCGCATGCCTGTAGTCCCAGATACTTGGGAGGCTGAGGCAGAAGGATCGCTTGAGCCCAGGAGTTTGAGGTTGCTGTGAGCCACGGCACTCTAGTCCAGACAACACAGTGAGACTCTGTCTCAAAAAAAAAAAAAAAATCACCCTTCTTTTGGAAAAATAAAGAATGTTTTATTTTTAAAAATGTATTTAACTTGACTCTTTCAACCAAATATTGTATATCAAAATTATTTTTCCATTGGCTTCTATTATAACATCAAATACTTTTCCAGGAAAGACTTGACTTCCAGCTGCTATTAAAGTCCATTAGTTTCTTTGGATAGCCTCTGTAGTTTAATTCCTCTATGCAGACCCAGCATATTATCAAATAATCAATATGTATAAACTTTGAACACATAATTTAAAATAGGAAAATGTTAAAATATATCTTATGGTTAAATCCTAGTAGATTAGGGAGTTTAAGATCTCTCCTTGGAACTTTAATGTTTAAGCAATATTACCTGAGTTATATTCAACATGAGTGTTTGTTAGAATTACATTGAACATGTTGTTCCAAATTTTGTTGTAACTTTCAGTAATGAATAGGTAGAATTGAATCCAGGAGGTATTTTAAAAAATGTTTATAGTAGATGAACAGCAAGTGTATAAGGTATCAATTATACCTTGTAGCCTCATTCCTAGCAAGAATCCTCCACCTGTTTTTCTTTTTGCTCTACTTGTAATTTATACTACCTAGATATATGTTGTGTATCCTTGTAAGCAGTCTTAAATTATTTTAAAAACTATTCAGGGTATAAATATGTTAAGTAGAGAGTATTTAAAATGTTTTCTAATATAAATTTATATTTCTTAGTAAATTAAATATTTTCTCTCTTAGGAAATTGTTTCTGGCATTTTGGCTTACTGTTGAAACTAGCCTTTTTGCTGTTATTCATATGTTTTTTGGCGTATTCTCAGGTTTGTACAGTCTTTTCAGTTTATATTTTGTAATATTTTAAAGTTCAAGTCTATTAAAGTGTGTGAGAAGACTCGGGGTTTTTTTTAAGCTTTATTTTTTAATGACTGTAATAAAAGTGTCACTCTGTAGTTGACTACTCAGTGTAGTTCTTTTGAGATATATCTACTTTTGTTACCACTGTTTTTGTTGTAAGAGCAATTTAAAGCTCTTCCTCTGGCAATTGTTCAAGATCCATTTTACTTGACTTTGATCAATCAAACGTTTATTGAATGCTTCTTACAAGACACTACTCTAAGTGGAGATCAAAATTCTCTTGACAGAATATGCAACTTAGTTTGTGCATTATTCATTGCATCAAAGTATTACTTGGTTTCTCTATAACTACACAGAGTTAAATTTTGGCAGTTAGTAAAACCAATTTAGGAGCAAAGGGGTTTGTATATAGGTAGTATGTTTAATTTTATAAAATTTTGGTCATTTCCCTAGCTCTAACCTTTGATCCCTTTATTCTGATGGTTGAGATTTTCTCACCCACTTTAGCAGAGTGGTAGTCTGCTACCTGCTGATTAAATCCTTCAAGCAGATGTGTCATTTGGGCAGCATGAAGTTCATAACGACTTTTAATTTGAATGCCTATAGTTGTGACATATTCTGCAGTTTACTTGTATCTCCAACACTCTGTCCGTCCCTGACTGTGTTAAGTATACATGCCCTATAGGCATTTATGTGTATATGTAATCCTATAAAGCTGTTTTTTGGGCATTTTTGTAGGCATTTATACTTATTTTCATACTTAGGAGCATTTAAAGCATTTCTATTGCTGCCTGACATTCAAGGTTTTTTATAGATCGATAAAATAATAAGAAACAACAGGCAAATGTACAAAGAAATAGCCAGGTAATAGCAACAACTATTGGACAGTTATTCATTAAAATTCCCAAGACTCTGTGAGTACTTCTGAGGGAAAGAAAAGACAGCTGACCAGAGGTTCAATATGGGGATTAGAAACATTTCCCTAGCTTTGGGTCAGTGTTGACCACTGGACAAGAAAAAGAAAGTTCACAATCCAGTGCAGCACACCATCTTTCACAAAAAAGGATGCTTGATAAATATTTATTTATTGGTCACTTTAAGAAATAAATTTTTAATTAGAAATAAAATTTTAAATGGTAAATACATCTTATATACGTCATAGATATGTCATATATTTATCTCTAATATACACCTATTATATAATCAATATTCGTATCAGTATATATGATCTATAAGTACATTAGATTACAACTCTTGTTAAGGATCATCCTTAATCTGAGATATAGATTTTGATAGAACCTATTTTTAATATATGTACATTTTAAATTCTGTGGTCGAATGGAGACTATTGCATTTTATTATAATAATAAAGTTTTTCTGACCTAAGAATTCAGCATTACCTAAAATATAATATTTCCTATTCTGTCTTTGGTTTTTAATAGCCTTTTAAAAAATTGTCATGTTACGTTTTTATGCTGTGGCAGTAGGTCTAATGATGAAACTTTCCTTAATAGAGTTTGTCGTCATTCTTTAGTCTGGAAATTGAGGTTTTTGTTCTCTTCTTTGAAAGACTTCATTAATGTGCAGGAATGTACCCAAGACTTCTGCCCCTTCATTGCCAGATTTTCCGGGCTGTCAGATTAATAAGAGGGTACCATTCAATAACTTGACCAGAGTAAAATTGTAAACTTTGTTTCAAAGGCTACAATGGCATTTGGGTATGGTTGATTGAATAAGGTGACTAATTTAGAAGACTCTTTTAACTCAAATGGTTAATTATAGATTATTAAGAACATTTGGAAAAAGATAACTATATTTTAACCTTAACAATCATTCTTTAGGATATTGATATCATATTGCCTGAAGTATTTTGTATGTTCTGTTTGATTAGTAAATATTAGCTATTTTGTGTACTAGATTAAAAACCTTAAATAGAATAATTTTCTAAGTACTGGGTTTTTGGTTTTTTTGTTTTTAATTTTTCACTCTCAGTAGCCTTTCATGTGAAGTGAAAATAAGTTACAGAGTTTTAAGTCATCTTTATTAGCTATTGGTAAAATAAATGTATTTTCAAATGTATTTCAAATGAAATAGAATTTAAAAATTGTGAATGACCCTTACATAGTCCTAACTTTTAAAAAACTAGAATTTATGATAGAATTGCAAAGCAAGTATTGACTTGTATCATCTTAATTTATTTTCTGGATTCCTTTTCTCAGGGTGCATTTGAGAAGATCTTTTCTCTTTGGCCATTGTCCAAATGTTTTGAACTGAAAGGGAATGTATATGAATGGTGGTTCAGATGGAGGTTAGATCGTTA